CTCCCCCATCCTCCCACCAGCTCCCCCATCATCCCACCAGCTCCCCCATCCTCCCACCAGCTCCCCCATCATCCCACCAGCTCCCCCATCCTCCCACCAGCTCCCCCATCATCCCACCAGCTCCCCCATCCTCCCACCAGCTCCCCCATCATCCCACCAGCTCCCCCATCCTGCTGGCCTGTTTTTGTTCACATTAGTCTGCTGCTTGATCCTAAAGCTCCCACGCAGATCACACAAGCCGATCTGATGGATTTTCAGTTGTTATTTTCAGATTTCTTAAGCCAGGGAAACGGAGGCTGTACTGTGAGACTGAGCTGCGTGGTAATCCATCGCCATGTATAACACATAAAGCTGATTGCAGTCTGGGAGGGGCTCTGGCAGCATATCTACCCTGCAGGAATCTAATTCCCACCCCTCCACAGAACAGCCACATTAAGCAGTAATGGGGGGCAAAATGGGGCCCAGAGCTCCAAACTGTCTCACTGTCCCAGTGACTTTCATAGCATTTTTGCCACTTTCACTACATAAAAAAATCTCACATGCAATATGTCTGTGGGTGTGTGTGTGGATTAGGTTTATATTACATTGTGGGGACCAAATGCCCCCCATAATGTAATAAAAACCTGTTATTTTGACATTGTGGGGACCATTTTTCAGGTCCGGACAAAGATCTGTGATTGCAATTAAAAACCTAAAAATGCCCCGTATTTTGTTGGGTTACTTATGGTTAAGGTTAGGGCTGGGTAGGGGTTAGGGTTAGGGCTGGGTAGGGTTAGGGTTAGGGCTGGGTGGGGGTTAAGGTTGTCATGTTAGGATTAGAGTTTTCCCCATAGAAATTAATGGACAGTTCCCACAAAGATATAATTACAAACGTGTGTGTGTGTGTGTGTGTGTGTATATATATATATATATATATATATATATATATGCACTGCTCTTCTTACAGCCGGAGTGCTTGTTCCTTTATTTCCCCCTACTGTTTTTCAAATTCATAGTGTGGGTTAGGAGAAGGGGGATGGGGGGGGTTTAGAGGGGGAGGGGGGTGGGGGGGCTCATCTCCCTGAGAGAGCACAGTAACACTAGCCTATCTGCCAGCCTTCTGGCGAGGGGGGAACACAGGGCACACAATGCCACCCCCACAGTAGGCATTCTATTAAAATACTTTTTTCCTCTTCTTTTCTGTGCTTTTTGCTTTGAAGCCCCTCTCCCCTCCCGAAATAATAAATAGTTAATGAAGAATAAACGGCAGTAGGAGGCAGTGTAGGATTCAGCAACTTACTCGGAATGGGACTAAACAAGTCTGGCTAAACATTTATAGTCTGAATGAAAGGAGGTCATTGCATTTTGGCTTTTATACAAAACGACATGCGACTGAGAAAGCAAAACCCTGCAGCAACTTGGGCCCTATTGTAAACAAAAAAGCCTGACCAGCTTAAACTGGGTATGCTGGCTGACCAACTTCTCATAGATGAACAGTTTAAGGTATGTTTTCACCTGATGGTTTGATGGTGTAGCCAGCCACACCAGCATGACCAGTTTGATAGACTTGACCACACCAGCATAACCAGTTTGATAGACTGGCCACACCAGCATGACCAGCTGGTGACCCTGCCAGTTAAACTACCAAAGAGCAACGAGAACTGGGACGTGACCAGCTAAAACCAGCTACCAGCATAAGCTGTTTTTAGCTGGGGTTTTTTCAGCCCGGGGGGCGGGGGGGGGGGGGGGGTCACAGTGCCACTAAGACTCATCCATCTTAGCTTTAGCAGCAGTGCAGCAGAACCGTAATCACTCAGAGAAAAGGCTCAGAACACAAAGCTTACTAAGCAGGGCGGGATGGGGGCGGCGTGAGGGAGTGCCAGAGACGGGAGGAGCCGGAAGCAGATGCCCGTGACCTGCAGGGTCCAGCCAGCCCAGAGGGCCACACCTCCTCTATCAGTATTTGCCCCCACAGTCAAATTGCACTCCAGCTCTTATTAATGCAAGTACTGGAAGCTGTGAGAAATCTCTCTAAATTTATGGGACAGCAGAATTGTTTAGCCTGTTGCGCTGTCGGCCTGAGTGGGGCGGGGAGCAGGTGTTTGGGTTTCAGCTCCATCTGACTGTGGATGTTCTCTCATGTTTTATTCATCTGGGTCAGACGTAGCTCTTTCTGTCTCTGTTTATAGGTGATGGCGACTGGAGAGACCCTGGCAGTCTGACTTCTGACCTTTAACTAACACAAAAGGAAATGTCTTTGGGGATCGCCCACAGGGGACGGGGCTGGGTTTGGATGATATTTCACTGACCAATCAGGGCCCGACTGGATCTGTGGGCAGGGCCTTGATTGGTCAGTCAAATATCATACTGACATTGGGGTTTTAAAAAGGTCACTGGCTTGATGGAGGAGGAGTGTTGAAGGAGAAATGGAAACCTGAAGATCAGAAAACTGCAGGAAGGTGGCTGTGGGTGAAACATTCTTGGCTTTTTTAAGGGTCCAAAGCACGTACTGCTATGGAACCTTATTGTTTTTTTGTTTGTTATTCTTAGGTTCTAGGGTTCTGTTTCAGTTAATTTTACAGCGTTCTGTGGCCTTGGGCACATTTTTCTGTGATAAACTAATTCATTTGGTTCAGCTTGAATGTCTGGAGTCTCTGTCCCACCTAAACCTCAGACTTCCACCCCAAACCTGGTGTGTCTCTATACAAACCCTAACAGGAAGGCTTTCTGTCCCTCAGGTCTGTAGTGTGTAACTAAGCAACAAATACACAGAAAGACCACAAAAAAGACTCATGTTTGTTTGATGTTCAAGGAGCAAATGGGTACTCCGGTGGCAGATGACAGCATTTCCAGCTGTCCATGGTCACAGCCTCTTCAGTGCCATGACATCGAACATGTTACTCAAATATTACAGATAACAGACTCTGCACTCAGTGGTCATTAGGTACATGGGGGAGCTGGTTAGTTCTGGGTAAGACCCACTTTAAAGGTAGACAGACTGTGCACGCAGAGAAGCCGTTCTATATACCACTGTTATATACCAGGTGTTATTGTTGAGCATGTGGTGTTAGCTGTCAGTATTATCCTCTGACCTCTCTCATTAACCAGGTGTTTTCACACTCAGAAATGCTATTGACTGGATGTTTTTGGTTCATTGCAACATTCTCTGTGAACTTTAGACTGTAGACACTGTACTGCGTGAAAATTCCAGAAGTTGCTGGAATCACAAAGCAGTCACGCCATGTTCTAATCCGTCCCGTATGTATCCAGTTGCAGCTAAATGATTCTCTCTTTTGAGGAGCGGGCAGTTTGCATTAGAGAGCAGTCGTACCTCATAAACTAGTCATTGAGTGCAGGTATTAAAGGATATGGATCTATTTCCCATTTAATAAGACCTGGTTATTCTTGGATCATAAGTTGCTATGTAATTTGGTTGGCCCCAGGTGAACTGTGACTGTACTGACAGTTTTATTAAGATTCCTGTCGACTCACCTTCCTGTTTCCACATTCCACAGGTCCTGCCTGTTTCTGTCATCGTTGCTGCTTCATTTCAGAAAGACCACATTTCATTGGCTCTCACTTTTAGGGTACACATGCGCACGCACATTAATGAAAAATAATACCCTTAACCCTTAATATCACAGGATAGATTATGAGAGATAAAATCCTCTGTTCATCTGCTCAGGACGTCTGGGGGATCTAGATTTACTATGCTGTATTATGGAAACAGTGTTTACATATTTGAATATAAGCTTGGGCATATTTCTTACATCTGTAAGGGATGGGATGGCATTCCTGCAGATTTTAAGCACCAGTCTGTCTGCATCAGACCGTCACTGAGTGAAGACCACGCTCATTTCCACTGCTTGAGAAGCTGTTTTTCATAGGCTGGTTTGCAGGCCGGACTCACGGCGGACAGCGACAAACTTACCAGCCAGAGAATCATTGTGGTTCTCTTCATCTGAGTCGGCAAAGACTTCAGCCAGCTCCTGGTCGGACATGTCCGTCAACTCGGTCAGGTCCAGGAGGTCAAAGTGCACCTCTAAGGAAGACACGCTACTCAACGGCTCTAAAAGGGGAAGGAAGAGGGAGAGTAGCAATGGGCCATTAGCTCACGGGGAGAACTGATGCTGCTCTCTGATCGACTGACGTACTAATCCTAATCCAACGAGTCTCCTGGTACAGCAGGATTATTTTAACAGCAGATACAGGTAGCAATGGCAGGATTTTAGTTTTATCTATGGTTTTTATTTTATCCTGGATCTATTTTAGGTAGTCTGTTTGGGTTTATCAAATCCTAGCTGCAGGATTTTTTTTCCTTAAGCACACATTAGATCTGCTTTATGCAGGATAGTGAACACAACCATGTAAAATAGGGATGGAGGAGAGAACAGAGACTTTATTTGGGTACTGGAGTGGTGACTGAATCAAGAAAATGGTGGAATGAGAACAGGCATTGGGTCTTGGTTCTGCAGGGCTATGGAGGCACTTTTTGTTGGGACCAAAGAGGATGGAGCTTAGGCTGGAGAAGGAGGAGTCAACTGGTTTGCTTTTCCACCCCATTGGTCATCTGAAATTCCATGGTCAGGGCCCAGAATGCATGTCAGCGAGCCCACATAAGTGGCAAAAGTTGTCACCGTTAATGTAAGCTATAAGTCAAATGAACTCATTGGCAACAAAATTAACAGTAGAAAAGCTAACACACTGTCTTTAAAGAAGAACACTGAAGACTTTGCCTTTATTTTCCACTTATTGGGGTTGCAGTTTTTAGGAGCATTAAAAGCAGACAATGAGTGAAGCCCGCAGTATGTAAGGCTGAAAGGAAGGAAGCCCAGCAATGTGAAGCTGCTGGGTTCGAAAGGAGCTGCTTTCAAAAACGAAGCCAGAGACGAAGCCCCAAGAACGCTGGCTGTCTGCTTTACAGGAAATACCCAGAATGCCGTGCTTAAGATGCGTGAGCTGCAATGGCCCTGCTATTTATTATTTCAAAAAGTGCAGAGTCATTGTGGCACCAGTAACCTCAGGCTGGTTCCCCCTGCAAAATTTCCAGTGGCTGGGTAGAAAATGCAATGCTGCTCTCCGGCCCCTTGGGGAGGTCACCCATCCTGGGCGTTAGGCCAGGGTGTGGCCAGCGTCCATCTGTACCTCTGCGGTGCCCCCTGATCAGCCTTCCTGGCTTCAAACTGGCCCGTCAGCCCATTGTGATTATGAGGGCGGGGCGGAGCATGCAAACTCACTGAGGAATTAACAGCCATGAGTTCCTGCAGCTAACAGCATAAGCTAATCACCCCCCCTCCACTATCGGATCTGCCGAGAAAGTCACGCGGTGCATCTGCCCCCCACGCACCCCTCGTCCATCCCCCACCGTCGCAGGGGCTTTGTTCTCTGGATCGCTTCGTCATTGACAGGCCCGGTATGCGCTGCGGCTGCCGCTGGCTCCGGGATGCCTTTCAGAAGGCAGCACCTTCATTCTCCATGTGCGGATGAGTAGGTGTGGGATTTCCATCCCTTTAATGAGACCAGCTCCCCATCGGCAGCCATCCTGCTCCTCCGAAGACGGGCCTCTTTTTTTAGGAGCAATCAGTCAGGGGGGCTGCAGGTGCCCGGCGCTGTCTGACGCTCGGCCGCTGCCTCTTTGTTAGCAGACAAAGGCGAATCGCGGCAGCTCAGTATCTGCAAGCTGCCTGACACACGCTATGTCAACAACACGTATGCCGCCTGACAGGGTGTCAGCCAAAGATCATCAGTATGGGGGGGGGGCGGGGGGGGCATCTGAATTCAGGTGGCATAATGGAGCCTAATGGCCGCCCCTCCCCCCAAATGCTGTACACTATTAATTTTGAAAATTCTGTAAAGAGCGCTACCCTATAAGGGGTACTGGGGGTATAAAAGCCTAAGTGTCAGCCCACCTTTAATGATGGGGGGGGAGAGTTGGGAATCCCACATAACC